GGCCAGTTGTGTTTTAAACGTTTATTGTAATTTGAAGACATTTTACTGTTAGATAACGGACAGCATGTTTTTTTAAAAGAATTAATAGTATGTTTTTGAATAATAAAATTGCAGGTTATCCAAAGGAAGTGCTTATACACGCAGTTGTCCCAAAAATAAGCCAAGACATTTTGAATTACTCTTTTTTATGATAATAATTAAACATTCAAACATTTTGATCCTTAAGTAGAGAAAATTTTCTAAAAAACTTTTTATAAATCGTTAAATCTGTGGCCGGCGTTTAAAAGGTCATAAGTCGTTTTTTACATAAATAGAGTTTTTAGTCAAGATACATTTAGAAGACTGTATTTTTTAAGCAGCTAAAAGGATCTAAGTCTATATACGTTGTAAGGTAATAAAAATAAAGTACAAAAAACATATAATAATACAAGGGTAACCGCGAAAGACATAATTAAACATAAAGTCAAATTTTGTAACATCAAACAGTAAAAACAAAATATATCTACATATTTTTTAATTTTTCCAGGACCAAATCTCTTAAAAAGATCGTCAACTTGGTCCATCTCATCCCATAGTAATTGGAAAAATTTCCCGAAATACATCGGATGATTTTCTTTGGGGGACATCTTTTGACGTATATTTGAGGCTTGAACGAGCAACCCCCTATGAGGGGGCGTTTCAACCCCTCAAAATTGAATAGGGAAGAGGGGTTGAGTGATATTTCATTTGTAAGGTCTTGGAAGCCTCTTTACAACGGTGTATGAAAAAATCACATTCTTAAAAAAAATAATTGTTTTATCATGCTTACAATCAAAAAAATCAAAACTGCGTTTTTAAATCAAATGTTCAAATTGTCCTGCTCCTGCTCAAGAAAGTAACTTCGCTTAGCTTGTCAAATATCCTTGAAAACATAAATATAAAGGCAATTCAGTTTTTTGTAGCAGTCGTTTAATTATAGAATTTTTAAAATGAATACAAAAAGTTTAATTATATTTTTAAATAGGATTTTTCAAACATAAAACTGTTTAATGTATTGTATTAAAATTTGATATACAGGATTTTATGGACACTGTTTTAGAATAGCTGCTTTATATTTGATTCTTTACGAATTTAAATGATCAGTGTACTTTATCTCTTTTTTATTACAAAATATCATTTACCGTAATTTTTTAAATAAAAAGGTTTCCTTTGCAGAATCTGATAAAGTTGGCCTTTTTTTGAATGGTCAACACATCCAAAAAATTGTGTACACAAGAATACCGTAAGAAAACAGAGAGGATTCCTGAGAGAATTACTCAGAATACCCTGAGAATGCCCAGAGAATATCTGGAATAACAGGAGCTTGCCTGGGAATACCCAGGGAATACTCAAATAATTTGTAGAGGAATAACCAATAAATAAATAAAAAAAAATATTGAGAGTTACTAAAAATAAGCTCTTTGAATTATTATGAAAATAAATGACAATTGTTCCGGATTCACTTGCACATTTAAATATACAGGGTGTTTCAAAAAGGTATGTCGTAAATTCTTCCTCAGATAGATTATCAAAAAATAATCACTTATTTTTTGGTAATCTATCTGAGGAAGAATTTATGACATACCTTTTTGAAACACCCTGTATATAAATGTATTACTTTTTTAAGATATATATTGCACAATTGCTTCTAAGTGCGCTGTGTTGACAGGGGCGGATCAAGTGAAGCTTTCAGGGAAGGGGATCAATTTACTGGTCTCATGCATGAGCTGATTTTTTTTTTCATTAGATTTCAACGGTCAAAGATATCAATTACTAGGGTTTATTAGCCTCAAGGGGAGGGGCAGTTGCCCCGTTGTCCCTCCTGGTCCGTATTCGAGAAATTTGAGAAACTGATTTTTATGAAAATTGTTGAACTAAAAGTTGTTTACGATATCGATCTCTATAATTTTTGTTTATATATGATTTTTAAATGGACCGTAATGGAAAAATTGAAGAAAAAGTGCTAAATTTAAATTTTTCTGTATTTTCGTTTTCAATGAATTTCTATAGAAAAATGTTTCGAGGTAGATGTATGTGGAAAATGTATATATTTAGTTTATCCTCTAAACATTTATAGAGGTGCTGCAATAAATAGGTTGTACAAAATAACCTAAAAAAGCCCATAATAACTAGATAGGAAAGTCATGTGTTGGACACATCGGATTTTTTGTTTTTAATTTGTTTGTAGTAATTTTTATGTTCATTAATATTAGGTTTAATATTGCAATTATTAAACATAATTTGTAATAATATTACAAAGTGGTCTGTAGTGAATGTTTCCACAGTTGATGATATTTTATTATCGAAATTGTTTTTATCTGATTTTATAAAAATGTGGTCTACGCAAGATCCGGAATCTGGTCAAGTAACATTATTTATAGCCGATAGGAAACCATATTCAGCAAGTAGGGTTAAATAATTAAATAGGTAGTTAATATTAATATCACCAATAAAAATAGTGTAAGCAAATTTTTTAGGGTGACTATCTTATATGCTTAGACCTTTTAAAAATATGTCCACATGTCTATCTGAAGGGGATCTGTAAAATGAGTTTATATAGACATTGTTTTTGTTATATTCTAATTTTACACGTAATACACGTATCGCCTAGCTTTACATTTATACAGGGATTTCATTTCAAAATTAGCCACCCAAAATAACTTTTAAAATATCTTTAAAACAAAAAAACAAAAAACAAGTTAATTTATATTTACGGGGGGACACATTTTACAAGTATCTGTAACCGTGCAGTTTCATCCCCTAAGCGGTGGTGAATATCACTTCTAAAATTTTAAATAGAAAGGGGTATCATGTGATAGCTCTTCTTAAAGGTCTCTTTTTTTCCAATCTTTTGACACATTATTTTTTTAAATCGGATTAATTTTTCACCAAGTTATAACCTAGAAATATTGAATTAACATGCATGAGTATAAATACCGAGATAAACAAGTTAGCAAAAAGCCTTAAATGTTTTTTGCGTAAGATATTTTTGACCGTAAATTAAAACAATTTATTATTAGTAGATTATTGGTTTCGTTGTGTACTAACAATTTAATTTTGACATGGTTTATTCTTTACAAGAAAGAATTGAAATAATCTTTATTTATGGTGAAGAACAACGCTGTGCACGCAGAACTGCTCGTGTTTTTAATCAGAGACATCCCGATAAAAATGTTGGGCATCAGTATGTGTTGTATTTAGTTCATAAATTTCAAGAAACTGGAAGTGTGTGCAATAAAACTGTAAGGAATCGTAAAATTTTAGAAGTGATATTCACCACCGCTTAGGGGATGAAATTGCACGGTTACAGATACTTGTAAAATGTGTCCCCCCGTAAATATAAATTAACGTGTTTTTTTGTTTTAAAGATATTTTAAAAGTTATTTTGGGTGGCTAGTTTTGAAATGAAATCCCTGTATAACATCTCGGTATGATAGCGAAAGTCTTTTTTGAAAATTATTTTAAGTATTCGTTTTTGCAAGATTTCCAAATTGTTAAAACAGTCTTTCCTACGCTTCCCCATGCTAAAATACCGTAAGTTAGATGTGACTGTACCAAAGATGTGTATACAATTTTTAATGTTTTGGAATCTAAGATTTTAAATTTATGAATGAGAAATTGATTTTTTTTAATTACGAATTGTATGTGTTTATGCCATTTTACATTTTGATCTAAAATAACTCCTAAGTATTTGAATTCACTTACAGAGTCTATTGTTATTTCATTTGTGACATTGAGTGTGTTAAAAGTAGGAGCTGTTCTAACATCAACATGGATGGGCAAAAATGCAGTTTTGGAGAAGTTAACGGTAAGTAGCTTATAATTATACCATTTGTTAATATTTTGAAGATGTTTTTCAGCTTTCTTTTTGAGATCTTCCCAGTTCCTGGCTTTATAGAAAATGCAAGTATCATGAGCGTAGGCAGTAATATCCCCTTCACTTTCCAAAGAAAATAAATTATTTAAATAAATATTGGACCGAGAACTGATCCTTGTGGCACTCCAAAGGTTATTTGTCGGACTTCACTCCGCTGATTATCGATTTGGACAAACTGTTGACGAATAGTAAAAAAGGTTTAGTGTGTTACCTCTAACACCAACTTATTCCAGAGAATCCCTGTATGACCTAGATATAGTTTTGTTTTTATGAAAACCAACACACCATCATTTTTATTCCGAGTGCTGTTGTTATGAAGTACTATTGCTGGTCCGAGAGGGAGGGAGGGAGGGGGAGGCAGGGGGACAAATTCCGGGGCCCGGCTTTAGCTTTAGTTAAGGACGTTTTTTTTGTTAAGTTCGCCATAAAAAAAGACATGGTTTGAGGATGTTTCACTAAGAAAGGATCTGATTTTACTTGAGGACTTATTTTTTAATCTATTCTTACTATTTTAGGGTCCCCTTAAATATTTCGCTTTTCAAAAAGTGTTGAATGTGTTTCAACTTAGTGTGAGTTTATTATTGCATAAAAATATTATGTGAAAGAAACTGTTTGACGGTTTTCTACCTTTTTATTTTTTTTTTCAATTCTTATATGACATAGACATTTTGTAGCCATGATTATAATACATTGAAGACACTAACTACAATAAATATGCTAATCCTGAACAAAAGGGTTCCGTCGCCAAAAAAAGTTTGAGAATCGCTGATCTAGAGACACTTCTCGGCGAAGTTTTTAATCAATGGGACAATGACGAGCTGAAATTGTGTCCCCAGACACATTGGCAACCTCAACCAGCAAAATTTTTAACGGTCTGGAGGATGCACAATGGACATAGAAAGGCCTAAGTGATATGGGGCAACACATTTCCCCACCTAATAGGTGCAGAATAATCTAGTTTTTATAGAATTTGTTTTTAATAAAGCAAATGCTTTGATTTGTGAAAATTAATTTTCTTTTATCCGTACTTTTAAAACCTTCATAACTCGCATCAACAAACCGCATCTGCTTTCTTAGGCGAAAAAAAACTATGCGTTCAACTTACCGTTCTCAAACCTGATGCGATTTTCTCGCGGTACATCAACAACAAAAAACCGCACTTCCTTTTCGGAACAAAAGCCGTCCAAACATGCACACACAATCTCGACAAACAGAACGAATAAAAAAAATAGAAAATCGAAAAAAAATCGTTCGTGGAAACAAAGGAGCCGTAAAAAATAGTTGACAGTCGCCGCGGTAAACAAATCGCACGTGATCTTTCACGGGCCGCTTGATCTGTCGGGGTGCGAACAGCGAGCTACGGACGTCACCGGAACACTTGAAGGAAATGCACCGGTGTCTTCGATGCCTAGGCTAGATCATCGGCGGCGTTGCCGCGTGTATCGGCAAATTTCGTTGAAAATAGTTATGTTCAATGATAAAAAAATCTTTTAGTTATAGTAACACATCTACACTGTGAATCAAATTTTGTGCTTTTGTGAATAGGACGAAATGATTTAACACCTTTCCTAATAATGTGCTTTACAATAACATTTTTTTGAATTTTTACATTTTTGTATTCGCAGAAAGTGTCAAAATATTCTACTTTACGCAACCAGTTGCATAATGAAAATGGTTAAAAAAAATTCATTATGTCACCAGTTACAAATAGAAAACAAATAAAAATAAAGTTTTTATACAACTGCTATGAAAAGTAGCGTATTTCTCATAGCTTACTTAATTTCAAAACCATGTATTGCTCATACTGTGAGAAATATTTTTTCTCACGGTAGTTTGCCCACACCACATACATTAATATCAACAAAAATCGACAAAAACTCAGTTGGCTGCTGTTTAGCTTTAAATAGTTGTCACAACTGTCAGATGATTATAGTTTTTGAAAAAGAAATGACATTCCGGGTTTGACCATACAAAATTGTACTAAGTTTACTATTTACTATAATTTTAAATAAATTATTGAACTTTAATGTTCTTTTAGTTTTGCTTACCATAAAAATAAATAATATTAAGTTACATTACTTTTGTATTCTTTAAATTTGTACAGTTGTAGAAAAAGTATAGTGTGCAACATGTGGGGAAACTATTTTTCTCACTCGTGTGTTTGCGGTACTCGCCCTTCAGGTTCGTGCCACAAATTTCCATACTCGTGAGAAAAGTTGAACTTTCCCCACTTATTACACAAAATAATATTCTTTGGTTTTAAATTCAATGTATACATTATTATTGAAAGATCATATCAAAGACTTATAAAAATAGAATTTGGTTAAACTTGCAAGCCTAGTTATAATGTTGTTTTGGTCCTTATTTTCAATTCTAAATCTAAAATAATTAAAACACAATATACGACAAAGTAACCTACTTTCTTGACAACTAAATAGCTTTAACAGTCAATATAAACATACTACAAGAAGTGGTCGATAATAAATTAATATGATTTTTTATTTGTCATTAAAAAAAGTTACGAATATGCAACTAACAATACAAGAAAGTAATATTGGTTGCCTAGATGTCAGTAATGTTTTACCAAAACAGAATTTTATAAATAAGTCCCCTAAATGCAAAACTTGGTATTTTTTAGTTACAAAATTTTTCAGGAAAGGCAAAAACTGTCAGTAATTAAAATACATATGTATTCGTTTTAAATTTTGTTTTTAGTTGGCTCTAGTGATTTTGTTTTGAAATAACTATGCTCTTTAATCCGAAATCCTACCAAAAATTAAAAAAATACTTTTAAAATTAAAATACCGAGTTTTTCATTTATGTTTTAAAAATGCCCAATTTTGCAACTCGCAATTGCAAATACTGATAAGTGCATGGTTGTCTTATTTTAGAACATGTATTTACTTATATATTTTTTTTTAACTAAAGATTTAAAAAATATAAATTAAAACATTTTTATTAGGTGTAATAATACACATACAAGCAAAAAAATCTTCTCTAAATAAGCAAAAAAATGTACTTATAAAAAAATAAACTCGTAGATTCTGAGTTCTTCGTTTTCATCCTCCATGAGAACTTCTTCTTTTTCTTTTTTTTCTTCTTGGTGGTGAGCTTGCTGGCACAATATTATTGTATTGAAAGTAGTAAATAAGTAGTAAGAAAAACTGGCAAAAACAAGCAAACTTACTACTGACCTCTTCAGAATCCAAACAACAAATAAATAAATTAAAATGGCTACGTGCCCGTGCACTTACTTAATCACGTGACTATTAGGCGCAACGCCATTTGCAGGTTACAATTACATAGTTTGTAGTTTTGCATTTGATAAGTGAAGGCAAATACAGAGTTTTGCATCTAATCTTCGTTTTCTAAAGCGTTTTTAATGCAGAAATAGGGAGTTTTGCATCTTATTTTAGAAGAAGAATGGTCGAGTTTGAAATAAGGAATTGAATGGCGCCAAAACATTGCTTTTGAAATTTTCGTCAAATACCGAGTTTTGCATTAGGGGACTCAAATAATCTAGTCAAAATTAGAAAAAAATATATGTAAAGGTACATTTTTTGCATGAGATTTATGTCTGACAGTTGTTTAGTCCAGTGTAAACACTCAAAAATATATGTCCGAGAGAAATTTTTGTGTTTACACTGGACTAAACAACTGTCAGACATAAATTTCGTACAATAAATGTCAGATGTAAACGTACCTTTACACGTATATAAATGCTGTTTTATAAACTTAACTCATTCATGTTACGAGACCTCGCTCTGCTCGTCCCGCAAATATTCACTTCTTACATAAACTAAGTCATTTCGTAACTGGTTTCATAAATAGTCATTAGATAATCCTAACTCCATTTCAAATGGTTTTACTGAATAACAATATATTTGTTTTTCTATTATCAGTTTAAGTGAAAATCCAATACGGGTATTATACGCCGACACTCGAACGGCGGATATAACTATTGAAATGTTATAGAGTTTCCAGACACTTTGAAACACACTATACATAACAATTTTGGGTCCGCTAACACTTATTTAAAAAAAAATTTTACCTTAAAATCTGTTGTCGGGTCTCCATCATAAAACAATGTGAACTAAACCATTTTCACTAATTTCTTGTTGAAGAAACGGCTAAATATCAATATAAGACCATTCATAGAGCAATAAACCCTTCCAAATTTTTTCATAAACGATCAAATTTTCTTATTTTTAATTTTTAGTTTGTTAGAAAAACAAATAAACATTAAATTATTTTCAATGACAATTGATGTGTCTAGTTTCTATAACTGCGGTGTTGCCAAATCGAGTAAGAAAACATGTAAGTCAGGAAATAATTCAGTTAGTGAAAGTTGGCTGAAAAATTACATAGTGTCTGGCCAGCAGATAAATTTGGATCTCTAAGTGAAAACATTTGTAGTAATTACAGACAACCGTCTTTTTATTTAATTTCATGATGATTGTACGTTAATTACGGCATGTCAGTACTTATCTAATATTTAAAAAAAAAAATCAATTTGAGCTGTGTCCAGGCCATTGGAGTTTATGCCGGTCGGCGTAGCCAGGCATGGTTTAAAAATTTTCTGGTGGCGGCGAAGCCGCCACCTAACAAGAAGTCGTTCCTTCATTTTCTTAAGATATATTTACTTATTATTAGATGCTCACGATACAAGACACGTTCGGGTTGGTTAGGTTTTTTTTTTCAATTTGAGCTGTGTCCAGGCCGTTGGAGTTTATGCCGGTCGGCGTAGCCAGATACCGGTTGATGTTTTTTGGTGGCGGCTTAGTCGCCACCCTACGAGAAGTCTTTGCTTCGTTTTCTTGTTGCATATTTATGGACCGGTATGCGCAATCGCAATTTTCCATTCTCTGTTAACTACTAATTTTATCACAATCCGGCAACGTTGCAATTAAATTTTTCAAATTTGATAGAAATCATCGAGTTTCGATGTTTATAGTCGCCAAAATGCTGATTTTTATAGAAATTAAATATTTTTTTTTTACCGCAAATTTTTTTTTTTAAAATAAATTTCTTTAAAATTCCACTGTCCCTATTCTGGCTTTCCTAACTAAAAACTGTGCACTTGACCTTGCTTATCTTCTAATGGTGTCATCGAAAGTGTATCCCATATTTAAAAAGGGTGTTCTGCAAGATTCTGCCTCATAACCCCATAAAAAGCAATTAATATATTACAACTTTTATTCACCCTTTTTACATTAATTCTAATCTTTTTTAGTAGCAAACTATTTTCGTTTATTAACTTATGAACTTCATCCATGTCTTTCATTTACAGTAGAAACGGGCGCCCCTCGAATTATCACAAACTAATAATATGCATCTACAAAACTGAAATCGAATCATATACAGGGTGAACCAATAAAAACTCCCAGGCCGGTTATTTTGGTAAATTGAACACATTTTTACAATACAGACATCTGTCATGTGTCAACCCCCTCCCTTCCACTTCTCCAACCCCTTAATTTTAAATAAGAAATGTACTATGTACGGCACATCATTGAAAAGGTAATTTTATGGGGAAGTCAGAAATATAACTGTTTATTGCGATACTTTTAATTTTAGCGCCCTCTATCGGGATAAAAAGACATGGTAAAGTATTATAAAGTGTGACACTTTATTTGAAAGCTAAGTTAATTACTAATTCAATGCACCACATAACATTAATATAAATATTTCCATATTGCACTTGCAAGAAAATAAAGCTAGCAATAATGTTTAAAATAATGCATGACTAATTTTCAAATTATTGCAAGTGCAATATGGAAGATTTATATTAATGTTATGTGGTGCATTGAATTAATAATTTAATTTGCTTTCAAATAAGGTGTCACACTTTATAATACGTACAGTTTTTTTATCCTGATAGAGGGCGGTACAATTAAGAGTATCTCAATGAACAGTCATATTTCTAAATTCCCCAAAAAATTACCTTTTTAATAATGTACTACACATTGTACTCTATAATACGTAGTAGTTTTTTTTTTCCGCTAGAGGGCGATAAAATTTTAGTAACGGAATGTGCAGAAATATTTCTGAATCCCCCATTAAATTACCTTTTCAATGGTACATGGTACATTACCTATTTAAAATTAAGGTGTTGGAGGAGTGCAGGGGAGAAGGTTGACACATGACAGATGTCTGTATTGTAAAAATGTTGTTAATTTGGAATAAAAATCGACCTGTTTTAGCATTTTCTTAAAATCCAATGATTAATGCTGAAAAACAGGATTAAACTGTTTTGAGTGACCCACTCTGTATATCAAAAATGGCTAGATTTATCGAATTAGTTCATAGAACAAAATTTGCTTAAAAATGCATTTTTTACCGTTGCGCTACACAAGAAAGATCCTCCCATCGAAAAA